GGATTAGCTTCTTTACATAATTTCATAATATCAAAATAATATTGTCTGACATCTTGATTTATACTTTGTTCATAATGACGTAATCGATTAAAAGAAATATCAGCTTTTCCTGAAGATTCAAATGTTTTTAATAAATTTTGTGTAAATATGGACCACGTTGTACATAGATGCGGATTATCATAAAACCAATCTCGTGCATTTGCTTCTAAACATAAAGATACATAAAAAAGTTTTTCCTCATCTGTTAATTTAAAGATATTCATTGTTTGTTCAAGTTCTCGTAACCATTTAGCTACATTTTGTTGGGATTTGCCGGAATATTTTTGTAATTTTTCGAGGTTCGTGATTAATAGTTGGTTTCGTAAACAATTTGTCATAGTATCTTCTGATTCCTTCAATAACATAGCTGAGGATCTAAATTTTTTTGATAAATCCGTTTTTAATTCTTCAGTATCAAAATCTTGTAAAAATTTCTTCATAAACGTAATAAAAGTTGGCATGTCATCTTGTTGTTTAATATACCAAATAAGTGCGTCACCAGTTAAAATTTCTGAAATTAATTCATTACGTTCCAGCGATGTGAGTTGTAATAAATCAAATTTTTCTATAATAAGTTTTAACCAAATTTTTGGATTACCATGTCCATCAAATTTTTGTATTGAGTTTAATTGTTGTTGTACCAAATACTGCTGTTTTTGATTATTTTTAGTTGGTCGCTGATCATCTAAATCATGACCTAGCGTATATGTGGTTGTTTCCGTAACATTTTTAACATTTTTATTAATATCAAGTGTTGTAAGTGTAGAATCAAAATTAATTTGTTCAGAGTTTGACATCATTAATAATAGTTGTTTTTCTTTTGTAGAAGGTAATAGTAAAGAATCAATAGTTGTTTGTGTAAGGTCAGTGGTAGATCGTGTTGATTTAATATCCATTAATAACAATACTCGTCCGATATTTGCTTTGCCTGCCACGCGGAATTTTTTTTTTGTTTTTAAAGAAATATCGGCTAGTGCACCATTGTTAGGTTCCTTTTCTTTATTTTTGAATATCAACAAGAACCTAATCCTTTTAACAAAAAAACAACAAGAACAAACAACTGACTAAAGAAAAGAAAAGAGATGATAATATGGAATATTAAGGAGGATCGATCATCGATATATATATATATAGATGTCGGATCCTGACACC